TTACCGTAAACATTCTTGATTTGTTATCAGGAAATTTTGAGTTTTCACCATCATTTTTTAATTCTACTTGACACTCTAATTTAGAAGCCATTTTAATAGCAATTCCTAAGTCATTAATATTATCTTTTAAAATCAATAACATAATAGTATCATTGCAGAAGCCTCTTAAAAATCCAGATATCGCTTCCTCTACGAGTAAAGGTTTTATTCCAATCAACTGTTCAGCGTTAAATTTTTCTCGCGCCGCTTCTAATCCTTGATCTAAAATTTCATGTACTCTATTCCCAAATTCTTCAATAGTTTCGTAATCTTTTCATCTTATTATCTTAAATTCCTCCTGCGCGAACTTAATATCAAAACTTAATTCACATGCATTTTTAATTAATTTTATCAAATCCATTATCAAATTCCAACTATTCTACTGTAATCACGCTTCTGTATTCTTTTCCGAATTAAAGTCAATAAATAAAATTTATCATCCAGCCCAACTAATGAATCGGCGAATCTTAATTGAATAACAAAATTAGTTACAGAACTGGATTTCCCGTCAAAATGTGGGATGAAGCTCGCTATGAAATCGAACGACATTCGCAATGTGCCTTTCCGAGATCTACAGGATGAACAAGACGAGTTCATGTCCATTGCACTACCAACAGAAGTAGATCTACAAACCGATACAGACATATTAGATTCACGAGGTGAAGAAGATGAGTTCTGTATCACACTCAGATCTCTTACTTGCGATACACAAGAAACTGATTCTACACCATGTGTTTCTGTCACTAGTTCCTCCACTTCGAAAGAACCAGTACAATTCAAGCTTGTTTTTCGGACTTTCTTAGCCCTTTTGAATTTTTTCGTAAATGGCGGCATTTTCGCAATATAAATATATTAACAACGTTATGTGACGAACAACTTGATATATGTATATATATTGAATTCGAATAAACACAATTATTAAAATTAATACAACACGCGTTGAACAATTAGAAATTTTTAAATTGAAACATCTCACGAATCTCCATCAGCGTGTGGTCTTCGGGGAAGATGAGCTTTCAGCGGCCACCGAAAATCACTCCTCTTCGGTATTCACCCAGGCTCTTGGGAAAACCGCTCAAAACCCAAGAGAAAGAAGATGCTGATTCGACGATGTCCAAGTGATTCAAAATGTTCCTTGTGAGCCTGCGAGCCAAAGTGAGGATGTACAGGGATTTCTTTTAAAGGAGATAAATCAGGCGTGAATCCTCGCCCGTGAAGCCCTGAAGAACTCTGCTGGTTAGGAAATTTTAGACTTCTTTTAAAGGAGACAACTTTAATTTGAAAAACACGTCTTTATTTATCTAGGGTCAATACTGGAATGGTCTCCTTTACAAAACGATCGTTTTTGTTACATCTTGTTAATTACAATATGTTCTTAGGTACCAGGAGCCAATAAAATAATTATTAAATTATGAAATAATTCCTGATTTGCTAATACATTTCTTTCAGCTATTCATTTTATAATTTTCAAGTGTTTAACATACTTGCCATGATTTAATATATTTTAGAGAAGGAGTAAAAGCGAAATTCGACTGTTAAAATATTCATCCTTAACCTAAGCAAATATTAATTAATTGAAATGTGCATTTTAAAAGAATGCAGAGCTGATTTCAGTTGCTTTTAAATAATGCTAACTCCACTTCTACCTCCTTTTCTAATTACAATCATATACCTCAATTTGAATTTCACGCTTGTGAAACTTACGCTGGACGCCGCTACAAGATGAGGGCGAGATTCACAACACCCTGTTGCGTGGGCCCTCAGGGAATCCTGAGTCTCAAAGTAATTAATCTATTACTGACTCTACCGTATCCGTCAGACTATCGACGTCTCTTGAGAACAATCCTCCTCTCACTACGGTATGATTATTTAAAATATCATTACAATTTTCAAATTTGCCATACGTAAGAAAAACTTTGGCTATACTTTGTTCATGTTCATCTTCTATAAAATGGTCTGCGTTCGTGTCTTTAACCTCTTTAGAATCTGAAAGTGGGAAATCGTTGACGTCTACGACCACCTCTTGCAGATCCACGGAAGTTAAGACGTCAGTTTTGTCTGTCTTAGTGTGATTTGTAGTGGGAATTGTGATTTCAGCGGAAGAACTCTAATCAGGCTCAGCAGAATTTAAAGGATTTCGGGACAGTGCATCCGCATTGGAATTTATTTTGCCAGGTGTGTACACTATATCGTAATTGTATTCATTCAATTTGACTCGCCATCTCATAAGACGTGATGTGGGATCTTTCAATTTTCTGTGGATCGGTGACTAGAGTAAATTGATTCCCATACAAATAAGGTCGAAAATGCTTAACAGCGAAGACGACACCAAGTAGTTCTTTCTCTATGGTAGAATAGTTAATTTCGGCACCGGAAAGTGCTCGGGAGGCATATGCTA